GAGCGTTGCGCGTGGAGTTGGATCGTTACTTCTACTAACTTTTCTATCAACGGACTCGGGTATCTTTGGATAATTCGTCGTAAAACTTTGCATGAATTTTTACTTATGGGATGACTATTACAGTACTATTAGGTGTTTTCATAGAGTTATATAATCCATTTTATCCGATAGTGAAAAACTCGGCGGCATTCGCAGGAGTCGAACTGAAGACAACGAGCGCAAGGCTTGAGTACAGCTAATGCTATTACCTGCTGAACTACGAGGTCCGATGAGGCGTTCTAGCTGCGCTTGGAAGAGGGTTGGCTGTATTCAAGCGTTGCCCCTGCTGGTGTGGGTTTGAATCCTACTGGGGCTGCCGATATTTTTCAAAATTGGGTCATTGTCAGTATAGCATTTTATACTGTGTTGTTTTCAAATACAAAAAAATGCTGTGTTCGCTTGCTGCTAGATTTCGACAGCAAAACAAAATAGAAACTTGGTTGACTGCACTAGATTGATCCTGCATCCAAGTGTATATTTAAAACCTTTTAAAAACGGTCAACTTTTTAGGTTTTTATATTCTGTGTTGAATTCGGAAACTACTGTTTAAAAGTTACTCTTCTTCCTATCCCAGCTCTTATCACCTTATGGAAAGGAAATGCTGCAATCTTTTCAGTTCTACATAGCCCCAAATATCAACCCTGATGGATACGAATTCAGCTTCCGAACCGTATGTTATACATTCAGTTATAATTAGATCTTCTATTGCATTCGGGCATTTATCTAGCATAATGTAGAAATTTCGACGATTTCGCGTTCACTTAAGAACTCTTTGCAAGACAGCCTCTTTCCTATAAGCTGCCTGTGGGTATGTTGCCAATAAAATAGAAAATCTCTCTAGGATGTAATGAGCCGTCACCATCGCACGCTGACAGATGGGAATAATCGAATTTTGCCAATCGGGAAGTGGTGTGGTACTTGCGAGAAATTAATGCAAGTGGGTTGTTCGAGTCTGTGTCCGAGATGCCACCTTGAAAAATATCCTTTTTTTATGAATAACGTACTAAAACCACCCCGTTTTGACCAACCTAACTGCTGCACTAGCCTCATCTAACGGTTACCCCAAATAAATTTCTCAAATGGTTACTGATATCATTACAGCAGCCACATAATTTTAGCCGAATATCCAGTCCTCCATTTTATTCGTAGCTTGGAATTTTAACGTGTTATATGTAGCTCTGCCTTACACACACATCTAGTCTTCTGCCATTTGCTTGCTTTGCTTATATTTCAATAGATCTCTTCTTGTGTCCATGTTGGTCTACAGTAATAATGCAATATATTCTGTTTTCCATGACAACAGAGCCGATATTGGCGCAAGAACCGAATGCCCTCCTCGACTCTTGGTTGTGTGGGTGTTGACTTAAACCGAAACTTTCCGTACAAGTGGGGTAAGTCGTTTCGTGTCAACACTGTCTCCGCCATTCTGGCCTCGACTTTTATTATAAACTTGGCATTTCTCGTCTCTCCTTTGTCCTCCACGTGTGCTTCATTTGTTGGCAGCAACAATATCTTATAGGTAACCCGGCGCCTATTCCTTCCTTTGCATAACTGCCTACTTATGTCGTAATAGTACGTATGTTTTATTTTAGTACTTTGGAGTCAGCTGTGTTAATCACCACAGGGCACAGTCCATCCGCATATTCCATTGAACCCTCATGGCTCACTTGTTAAAAACAACTAAAACCTATAAGCCTTAGCAATTCACCCCAGTTAAGAGCTCGTGAGTCTTCCGGAGAGGCTAACTCTATCAACTTTCAA